TTAAGATTACGCTGCTCTGTATTATTTCTCATTGTAGGGGGCGCAGTTTTGGCTTAGGGTACTAAGTGGAATAGAATAACTGCTATACAAGCTGATAAACGTCGCTTACTATCGTAAATAATAGCAGATTCTCGTATTATTTTATTACAAGTTACAGCTTTTACATTAAGAGTATTTTTTAAAAAACGGGTACGACGTTTCTCTCACCGGTGCGATCATTAATTAAGTACACGAGTTAAAGTACCGTTAAAACTTGTGTATTTGAAAATTCGAACCAGTGATCGAAACGTCGTACCTGTTTTTAAAAAATACTCTTAATGTAAAAGCTGTAACTTGTAATAAAATAATATTCATGATCAGTAAGTAAACTCGAAAAGTAAATTACAAATCCTTGTATTGTTGCATGCGTGTAAAAATAAAGTTGTCTTTTTTTGTTTTTCTCAAACTTGTTTATCTTGTCTCTGACTTGTCTTTCTCCGTTTCTGTCTTCCTGTCTCTGTTTGTTTCATCTCTTTCAGTATCTTCATTTCCATTCTTTTTTTTTATATTCACTCACACTCGTGTCTAGAGTTTTAACAATCTTCTCGTAACTTGCCAAGACTGTCTCGTGATTACTATTTTGGAACAGTTCCATTTTGTGTCTGAAGGACTAAAAAATGTCAACAAAACTTAACTTAAAAAAACGCTTCTTTACAGACAGTTTTGTGTCCTCACTTTGATAACGCTGTTATAATGAAACACGCTTTTGAAAGTACTATATACATATGTAATGATGTATGTAAGTTAAACAGGTCTATAGTGTAGTTATTTGAGATATCTAAATGTGAGCTCGTAGATATTAAATACTTTTTATTGAAGGCTTTAAAGTGTATTGAACAACGTAAACATTATAATGGTTACTGGTACTATTTCCGCTACTCTTATGTTAATTTCATTCCGCTTTATAAGTTTCTTTATGACTTGGTTTAAAACTAGGTAACTGTAGCAAACACAGGTTAAAAATACACGCTTTTAAGAAAATATATTCAAGTACTCGACATTGTCCATTTATGATATTTCAAAGCAGTTAACACTTGCCTCGCTAGGACTTGTAGCAAGATTAGTATCTTACTAACTAAAGACGTACGTGTTATTACGATTAGTATCTTATTAACTAAAGACGTATATATTATTACGATTAGTATCTTACTAACTAAAGACGTACGTGTTATTAAGATTAGTATCTTACTACCTAAAGACGTACATATTATTACGATTAGTATCTTACTAACTATTCAGAATAATACCCAACGTAAATAAACTGTGAACCAAAATACCTAACGTAGATACAGAAAAGATGGCTAAATTATCGTTAATAATGTGAAAAACAGTAACTAAAGACGTACGTGTTATTCTAAAGACGTACGTGTTATTACGATTAGTATCTTACAAAACAGTGGCAGAAAAACTCATACACTGAGATAATGGTTTAGACGTAGTTTGTTTGTTTGGAAATCAAAAGACGTACGTGTTATTAAGATTAGTATCTTACTAACTAAAGACGTACGTGTTATTAAGATTAGTATCTTATTAACTAAAGACGTACGTGTTATTAAGATTAGTATCTTACTAACTAAAGACGTACATACTATTACGATTAGTATCTTACTAACTAAAGACGTACATACTATTAAGATTAGTATCTTACTAACTAAAGACGTACGTGTTATTAAGATTAGTATCTTACTAACTAAAGACGTACATATTATTACGAATGGTATCTTACTAACTAAAGACGTACGTGTTATTACGATTAGTATCTTACTAACTAAAGGCGTACGTGTTATTAAGATTCCGTGTTATTAAGATTAGTATCTTACTTACTAAAGACGTACGTGTTATTACGATTAGTATCTTACTAAGACATCAGGCCTTGTCGGGTGCGATCTTACGCCCTTAAGTTGCACCCACATATGTATAAAACATATTTGAAAGGTGTGAAAAAAAGTTTTGATACCGTCAAAATGCACAGTTTCAGTGAAAATGTAAAAAAAAAATCCGGGAGAGGGTGCCCCCCCCCGAACCTCCCATTTTTGATTCGCCACCCATTTCTTATCCCCCCACTAGTCTGATGACGTTGTAGATTTTTCAAGTTGAGTATATTGATGTACAATATTTTAAAACTGGCTAGCAGTTAGTAATGTCTACGAAAAAAAGTCGACTGGTTTATTTTAAAGAATCCTCTATACTCGGAATGCTTGTGTTTTTGACATACTTATCAAGTGTTAGGTGTTATCCAACCCTTAGTTGTATCTCACCAGTACCTTTAGTGTCTTACAATCTCGAGTGTATGGATGTTTTCAACTGGTCCAACGATAGCCAATCACAATGAAGTAAGTAAAGAGAAGAGCCTATAAAAAAAAATGCAGCGTAGACAGTCTTAACTGTCCTGATTGGTCATAATAATAAACGTACATTTTCCCTAACCGTAGGTCAGTCTCCCTACGTTCATCTCGGCGATGATGGTGATGACATAATATTAATGGAGTGACCTTCTGCCCAACAGCTCTTGATGGACAGCCGACTCTTTTTTTTTTTTTAACCAGCTTTAAACCTTAATATTTATCCACGTAACGAACACTCCCAAGCTCCTAAGATATTTAAAAATATACTTGAAAGGAAGTTCAAAGAGATTTGATTACACTTGTAACCGAATCCGTACATTACTTTGGTATAACCGCCGCGGACAAAGTCACCTATTGTTCTTGATCTACAGTCCTTGTAGTATGTGGATTCTATCCAAGGACTCGATATCAAAGGCTTCGTTGGCCGACACAGCTGCACCTTTGTGTTGTCCTATGACCAGAGGAGAAATTCAGATAGTATATTCTTGCTAGAATATTTAGTTTATCGTTGTTTTAACAATGTAAAAATTGAACCCTAGATTTACGTACATCTTTCTTCGGTGTCACTGATGCCTATTTTCGTTGTTAAACCGTGTTAGAGAATAAAAACACGTGGTTTCTCTCTATTGATCGGAAGTGGCCCAGTGGCCACGTTAGAGAACAAAAAATGTGGTTCCACTCTGTTGGTCGGAAGTGGCCATGTTAGAAAAAAAAAGTGGTTTCTCTCTTTTAGTCGGAAGTGGCCCAGTAGCCATGTTAGAAAAAAATGTCGGTTCTCTCTTTTAGTCGGAAGTGGCCATGTTAGAGAACAAAAAAATGTTGTTCCCCCTCTGTTGGTCGGAAGTGGCCCAGTGGCCATGTTAGAGAAAAAAATGTGGTTTCTCTCTTTTGGTCGGAAGTAGCCCAGCAGCCATGTTAGAAAAAAATGTGGTTTCTCTCTTTTAGTCGGAAGTGGCCTAGTGGCCATGTTAGAGAACAAAAAAATGTTGTTCCCCCACTGTTGGTCGGAAGTGGCTAGGAGCGAAACTGAGAATCGGAAGGTTCAAGGCTCGAGTCGCGATATGCCGCTAAACATACTCTGTACTTTTAGCTGTGGTAGCGTTATAACTAACAAGTTAATCTCGCTATTCACTTATTAGTAGTCACGATCTAGACATCGAATTCTGGTGACTGGTTGTTCCCTCTGTGACCAGTAGTTTTGAATTAGGGATGTACATGTCTGAACCTTGGTCTAACCTGGCTGTTTAGTTCATGTGTCGTAGGTTGAAAATACCTATACCTTTCATAGCCTGTTTGTGTCACTTCGAGTATATTACGAATTTGTAAAGTTGGGATTGTTTTGAAGATTTATGTTTAACAAAAAAAAACACACACACGAAGTTTCGTTTGTCTGTATGTTCTGATGATTAGTACTCTATGAAAACTGACAAAGAATGATTCAATTCAAAACATATCAGGCGAAACGTCATGTACAAACTGTTACTGTGTTTTATCCAGCATCAAGTAATTATAGGGCCAGACAGTTTAAGGCACAGACAATACATCAGACGAAATGTCGTGTACAAACTGTTACTGTGTTTTATCCAGCATCAAGTAATTACAGGGGTGTTGGGTAAACTAGAACAATACCAAAGTAACGTGGTTTCGGCGTAGCAATAACAATGTTACCATTATTTTGCAGTATTCGAAACATAAAATGTATTGTTTAAACGAGGGGGAGGGGGTACAGCTACTTTGTATACACAGACACACACAGATAACATTCAAAACAATCAACAGCGCTAGCATTTCATACATTACGTCGCCTGGCCAGGGTGCTTTGGTAATTGTTGTAAGTTCCCCAACACCAGGGTACTTTGGTATTGTTGTAAGTTCCCCAACACCAGGGTACTTTGGTATTGTTGTAGTTTCCCCAACACCAGGGTACTTTGGTATTGTTGTTGTTGTTACCCTTCTCTTCCCCCATAACATGTACTTTCCCTGACATTGGTTCAATGTTTTTGTTTGTTTTCTATTCATGATAGAACGAGTGTAACTTCAGATATGAATTGTTATCGGCATATCTTAGTTTGGAATATTAAAGATTAACTATTCTGTCTTACCTGTGGACTGCGGGTAATGATGGGAAGGACCACAGTGTGCTATGTTTGAGTCCAATGTCAAAAGTAACAACTTTCTCTCATCGTACACTGAAAATATACTTTTTGAGATGAGAAAGGCCAAAAGACCATGGTCGTTAATAAAGATAATTATAGTATTGTTTAATAACTAGATTTTGTATTAGTGTAAAACCAAATGATTATAATTTGGCATATTACAACTAAAATAATAATTAAAATGTGTGGTTATTTATTATATCCACCACACCTTTGTTCAGTAAGAAGCTGTAGTGTACAGTCCAAGTACAGGTAAATCGTACATCATACTGTTACTTATACATTATTACATGACTAGTCTTTAATCCTGGTTTCTAGCCTCAATGATCCCACATCTGCCATGAATAGATGAACGTCAAGAACAGATGCTTGGAATACCTTGTTCCAGCCTCCTGCTGTCTCAACCATTTTAAAAATTGCCACTCGTTATGCAATGTTAATTGTTGAATTTCATTGGTAGGTAGAACGTGAATCTCGGTCATCAGCCAGGATGGAAGACAATTCCAGAGTCGTTAGCGGAGTTGATCTAGATTCGGTGGATGACGAAACCTTCCTCTATCAGCTGGTAACTAAAGTGTAAAAACTTGTTTAAATTATCGTGAAAGTTGCTAACGTTTTCTTAGTTACCTTTGTTTCATTCAACAGGACAGTGTGTAATGGTTCCTTAGTTACCTTTGTTTCATTGAACATGACAGTGTGTAATGGTTCCTTAGTTACCTTTGTTTCATTGAACAGGACAGTGTGTAATGGTTCCTTAGTTACCTTTGTTTCATTGAACATGACAGTGTGTAATGGTTCCTTAGTTACCTTTGTTTCATTAACAGGACAGTGTTAATGGTTCCTTAGTTACCTTTGTTTCATTCAACAGGACAGTGTGTAATGGTTCCTTAGTTACCTTTGTTTCATTCAACAGGACAGTGTGTAATGGTTCCTTAGTTACCTTTGTTTCATTCAACAGGACAGTGTGTAATGGTTCCTTAGTTACCTTTGTTTCATTCAACAGGACAGTGTGTAACGCAGTGATTCTCTACCAGGGGTAAATTTACCCCTTCGGGGTAAATAACTGATCTACCTGATGATTGAATAATAATTCAATTAAATTTCATTTTGTAAAATGTGTGTGTGTGTGTGTGAGAGAGAGAGAGAATGCTAAGTATGTGTGTGTGTGTGTGTGCTATTTTTGTGCAAAACCTGGATAACATTTTTTTTTTCTGACCTTCTTGTTTTTCTGTCTCTTTATAATGGCTATGAATTTTTTGTATGGAAGTAAGGGGGTAAATGGAGAAATACATCAAGCCGAGGGGGTTAATGATGGAGGAAAAGTTAAGAATCCCTTGTGTAACGTTTTCTACCATATTTTATTTTTTTTAAAAGGGTAGTAAAACATTTTCTTGGATACTTTCGTCAAAGTTCGTTTCAGTGTCTTGTTATTTTGGTATTAATTTCAACAGGATATTATACACTCCTTTTTATTATAATTCATCTAACCCAATAGTGTTGAGTACATAAATACCGGTTTATGTTCAGTTACAGTTTCAAATAAATGTATCCAGTATGTATTTCAATCCTTATCAATGTTTCTACGATGTTCATATTTTGTGATACATACATTGAAAAATGTTTACTGTATATTTATCTGGCAGTCTTAATTATTCAATATTTCAGCTGGACAGTACAGAGGATTTTGATCAGAGAAAAATCATAAGATTGAGACTTCGTGAGGTACAGGCTGCCTCTAGAGGTTAGTGTTTCTTAACATTTAATTTCGTGAAACATTTGTTAAGTAAATAGTTAAGAAAAGCACGGTTTCTTATAGAGCTCCAGTTTCCAGTGGTTTCTGTTAATATGATTAGTAGTGTGTTTATGTTCAAAGTTTGGTTACTGCTTAATGAATGTCGATTCTCGTGTGTGTGTGTGCGTGTTTTTTTATTATTTTCACTCTTCTAACCCTTGTTGTTTCCATTGTCTCACCCTATTGTTTCCATCGTTTAACCCTTGTTGTTTCCATTATCTAACCCTAGTTGTTTCCATTGTCTAACCCTTGTTGTTTCCATTGTCTAACCCTACTGTTTCCATTGTCTAACCCTACTGTTTCCATCGTCTAATCCCAACTGTTTCCATTGTCTAACCCTACTGTTTCCATTGTCTAACCCTACTGTTTCCATCGTCTAATCCCAACTGTTTCCATTGTCTAACCCTACT